TTCACTGATAGTTGACCGAATATGCCAGTATAGAAAAATAACGTTTACAGATTTGTAAACAGGCTAAAGTTCATTTATATTACGTCCAAAAGTATGGAACCATAAGGAATTGCATTATCCTCTATACATTTTTATAAAAATTCGACTTGATTGTCTTTGAAAGAGATGTTTTTGAAGGCTTCAGAAACTTCACCAGTGATGTGAATATTTTTAAAATTAAACTCTGTTCAAAAGAAGAACAGAAATAGTATAAAAATTGCAGAAAAACAATTAGTATTAACTCGTTAACGTTGATTTATTTAAACACTTAATTTTTCGAGAGGTTTTCTAAGAGTCTAAAAATCTGCTTTATTATTAAATGTTTTTATAGAAACCTAAGTGAAAATTTAGATGTTATGTAATTTGACATCTTTTATTATGCTCCTATCTTAAAAGTGAACAATGGGAATTATAATTTTATAAATATAGTTAAGGTTTATAGTTTTATGGTAAAGAAGTTAGGACGGTTTTTTAATAAAAAAGGTAGGAAGGTTAGCATTTATAAGATAGGCATTTATCTGTAATTACTTAATAAACGTGTTGGCAATATCTTCAATACCGCAGTACCTTTTTTTATCTTTTGTGCTTAAGTAACGTCAACCTCTTTGACTTTAGAGACTTCGGCCCGTTCTAACCCTTTAATTAAGAAAAGGTTGGAGACAATATAATTAGTTTCTATTTTCAAAAGTGAAAACTTGTTCAACGACTTTTATAAAGAGGGTACTAAAAGTTCTCGCTTTTTTATATGAAAGCTTTTACTATCCTCCACTTAACTTATAGAAAACTTAAAAAAAAAAGATTTCAGTTTTTTAATAGGGAGTCCGTTAATAAACTGGTTACGCTGTTTATTTTCTCTTTGTAGTGTTCGCTTTTTTATCATTTGTGATATACGGGATTAATTAGATAAAATTTGGGCAGAGATGTGAGGAGAGTTTTGCGTTTAAAAAACTGTGGAGGGGTGTTCAGATTTTACTTATGCAAAAACAGTAAGATATGCGATATGTGAAAAATGATGCCGGTATTGCTAATTTTCAACTCTGCGTTTGATGTAAGAGGTCATTTATAATATAAAGCATAGGGACTTCTGAGAATGTGATAAGTTTTTTTACTTCTCACTTATGGGTCTCTATACTAAAATTGTATATAAACTAGATGACTAAAGAATATGCATATTTCCATGAATCTTTTTCTAGTTTGCACGATGAAAAGAAAACTGCTATTCTAGTAGAAAAAATTTTAATTAATTAATATTTTAGTCTTCATTATCAGTGCTATAAAACCGAATTAAAAAGTGCTATATTTTTAAAAATAAATTAATTTTTATGGGTATCAAAGTTTACTGCAATTTTAGATTATTTCAACTTTCAGAGTCATAGTGCTATACTTTGGAGACTTAAATATTTAGCTCTGCTAGCTATACGAATGAGCCTGTGGGTCCGCAGTTAAATTTATTCTATATAGCAAAATTTTAAGTAATAATGTTAGTTTACTTTAGAACTATACAAAGGGAACCTGTAGGTCTGCAGTTTTAATAGATTTATTTAATAAATTTTATAGTTATTCTTTAGTTTCACTCAAGAACTTGGTATTTTTCCTGCTAACTATACGAAGTGGGCCTTTGGTTTCGCATTCACTCAAATAAACAAAAATTACAGTATATTAGGTAGGTTTACTTTAGAACTTAGTATATTTCTCTGGTAACTATACAATATGAACCGGTGGGCCCGAAAAATAAATTATTTTATTTAACATTTTTTAGTAATTTTACTAGTTTCACTTAAAAATTTAATATATTCTCCTGCTATTTATACAAAGTGAGCCTGTAGGTCCGCAAGTTAAATTCTATTTAACGTAATTTTGTTTTCATTAGTTTCATTTCAGAACTTAGGAAAACTGTGGCCCTTTAGTAATGGGGTGGGCATTGAATTATATAAAAACAGTAGTAGATAAAATTTAAAATATAGCTAAATATAACTAACTGGAAAAGTTACGTGTTATAAATTAAAGCTCATTTATAAAGTTTGAGAACCTTAACTGACCATCAATATAATAACAGCACTCACACTATTTTAAAATCTAAGCAATTTTTATTCCTAAACGGTCCTGGGGAGTAAACGAATGTAATTACTTTCTAGAATTAAAAAACTTTACATATAAATTATAAAGTTTTAGAAACGTAGTTTTGCTTCAAAAAAAAGCATAACGCTACCCTAAAACTCCTACAATTAGTAAAAAGTAAAATAAAGTTATTTAACAGTAGGAAAACTTTTATAACGAAATTGTAATTATTTAAAACGTTTTTCGAACCAAGGATCTAGTTGGTTCAATGCAAACAATGTAAACTTAATTTAATAATTACCAATTATCTTTTAGAGAGGTCCTTCTTCAAAAGTAGCAAGAATTTTAATTGTCACGCTATTAAGCGTTTTCCCTTCAAATTTTAGTTACCTTAAATTTTACTAAGACGCGGGTTACACTACTGCTCTGCTTTCTGGTCAATTAGCTTTATCGAGATCTGAAACTTAAGTATTAAATCCTTGCAAAGTTCATGCTTTACAGTGGAGTGGACACCAAAAAAAATAGTTTTACATAAATCTTTTTCTAACAATTTTTCAATTTAAAATTACTTAAATACGACCAAGTTGAGTGTACAGCTATTTTTCAAACGCTGCAAAAAATTATTACTCGCCCTTAACAGGAATTAACTTAAGTTTAAATAATCGTAAAGGCCTCTTATCGGTATGTTGTAAATATATTTCAATAAATTATCGAATTCAGAATTCATTTATAAACCTGTTAAAATATTCGAACTATAAATTAGTACACGATAATAACTATAACATGAAATTTTTTTTTAAAAAATAAATAACTTCAGATTTTACCGAATATATATATATATATATATTTTTGCTTTATAAAATAAAAATGTATGTTTGGGTTGCTTATAATAATAAATTAAACTTAGAGGTGTTAATATGCCTTTTAACTTGAAAAGTGGGCCACTTTAGCTTGAAGGCGAGAATCTCCCAATTTTACTTGGCTATAATTCGATTTTTCAACACTTGCATTTAACGATGGTGTTTTTGTAAAGAGTATTTTTATTCCTCTAAAAAGAGGAAGCATTAGTTGAGAATTACAATATATTTAAAAAAAAACTTTGTTATTTCCCTTCTTAATTATTCGCCCCGCAAGAACTGCTTTCTATGACGCATACGTAGTATATTTTAAAAAGTTTTATTTAAACAGACTAAGTAAAGCTCCTCTCATGTAAAAAGGATTAGACTCCACGGAAATTTTAAAACAAAAATATGAGTTATATATAAAAAACGATACCGCTTTTTAGGTGTGGTAAAAAGCAAGTTAACTAACGGAAAACATATGTAGTGTTTTAAGTCTGCGTCGGGAGTTATATACTGAGCCTGCAAAATTTCATTTTCATTGCTTCAATATTTATACTTGTTAACCGTACTCACTTGAGCATTGAAGGTGATAAATAACAGAAATTTCTTTCCACTGGCCCTACAAAATTTCATTTTCATTGCTTCAATATTTATACTTGTTAACCGTACTCACTTGAGCATTGAAGGTGATAAATAACAGAAATTTCTTTCCACTGGCCAGGATTCAGGTTGAAAAAAAAAATTAAGGATTTATCTAAAGATACGTCTTGAGAAATAGAACACTGAAATATAATTAAATCTGAACAGCAGTTCGTAAAAGTTTATCGTTGCAATTATTAAGTAATGAAGCGATGCACTGTCTTAGCGAAAAATACTTTTATGTTTTATATACATTATTTTCCCTTTCATTTTTTTAACTGTTCTAGAAAACGCTAGTAGTTTAATGGTACTGCCCATTTTTAATTAGCTTAGAGTATCCTTTAAAGTAATTAAGCTTTTATAAAGTTACCAAAGCTAAGTTTTTCTCGACAACCTTTTTTTTCTAACACACAAAAGTTCCCGCCATAATAAAACGATAAGAGCTCTCCTTTAAATTTCCAATCAACCTTAAACAACGTGACCTTCCACATCATTAAGAAAAGTATATTATAATTGTAATGAAATAGAACAATAAATACCCCCGTGACTAGACACAGCGCAGCGGAACATAAAAAGGGGAGAATTTAAAAAGAACAAAACTCGATTTTCTTTTAAAAAAGGGATCAAACCGTATACATAGGCACCTAGAGAGAAGACCTTATTAGAGAGCAAATATCCAAGCTCGATTTGTAATCTTGTACGTCTTAAGGACAAGTAGAGTATGTCAAGTTTGTGACCACAACGTACTTATCTAACCATTATTGCGTTGTACACAAAACTCATTTTTGTAAAGCAAAAAAAATCATAGAATTATCTAAAAAATTTTAAGGACTTAAGTTCGTATAATCATAGAAGTCAATCTTTAGTTCGCTTTATACTAAAAATACCTTAACAAAGACCAGAAGGCTTGAGTATAATATTTTATAATAAAAGGAAAAAAGGAGCAAGCACAGAAAGAAAATCTATTTTCAATATTTATTTTCATTACTTATTTTAATTTATTTATTTTTTAGTTCTCGATTGGAGTAACAAACACTGAATTTATGAATGTATGGTGCGTAACAATTTGTTTTAAGTAACTTTATTATTTGGACAAAATTAACTAGTCCTTTATGCCATGTATTTCAATTATTGAACTTATGTTAGGAGTACTTATAAGGATCTTATGTTAAACAAGCTTTATATTAATAAAAAGTATTCCACGAACTTCTCTATGAAAACCACTTAAACTGAATATTAACGAAAGCGGCTTAATAACGGGTAGATGTTTTTAGACTGTAACGCTATTTTAATTTTTGTAGGCTATTTTTTAAGAGGTATTTAAATAGCATAGAAAGTTAAATCTTAAAATAGTTAGGAAAGCGTTTCGGCGGAAGACTAAAAAAAAATACATAAAAATTAGTTCATTTATAATAAGCCATATTTAGGTTTTCGAAGAGTTATAGCTCTCTTCTTTCTTTATATTTCCTGGGAAATGTTTTCATAGCTATTAATAAAACTGTTAGAACTTCTAAGGTAGTTAAGGGTTTCATGATGAGATAATCGCAAGAAAAATAGTTGCAGAAGATTAAATTATCCAGAGATATTTTTTTGAATACAGCAACTAAAAAGGTTTTTCTTCGGTAAATTTTTATCAGGTTATTGAGGTTTCTATTATTAGAAATTTTTTTTTTAATAATATTCAAAATAATTATTATATAGATATGATATTATTATAATTATATATATAATAGAAAATTCATTAATAGCTAGTTGGCTTAGCAACTAAATTAGCTTTCACTTTTCCGCTGCATTTACTATTTTAGTGAATTCGCTAATTGTATAAGAAATTTTGTAAAAAATGTTTTGCTTTAAAAGCAAAAAAAGAAAAAGTGAAGGACAATACATGATGCCGAATTCGTCCAATTGGGTTAACCAATCGGCATCCAAAAACAACACAGAGTGTTGCTTTATAGTAACGCAATTAAACAAATCTTTTATACATTTAATAAATATAGTGCAAAGCTGGAGTCCTATAAAATTATTATAAGAAAAAAATAAAAATATAAAAAAAACGAGATGAATAAATAACTTACGCGTTTCAATACGTTTTATTACTTCCTTCGGCTCTTTGATTTTTTCAAAAGCTATTACTATTTTTATTGATGGGGAGTTTTCTGTGTGATATGTCTTTTAGGGAAAATTATAAAAGTTCGATAAATAAAGTTAAATACAAATAAATATAAAGCTTCATAATATTAAGCATTGAACGTGTATAAACCTAATACCATAGAAAAAAAGGAATGGGTGTATAACTGTAATTTACTTTTGGTAATACTCCAGTGCTGCTTACTATTAAGCGAAGGCAAAGCTATAAATTGTAAAACTTTAAAAACCGTCATATTTTTATTTTCTTTGTTATTGATAGAGTAGCTAATATGCTTACCTTTGCTTATAACATTGTAATTAGCTTAATATGATAATATATTACTTTAATACAGTAAGCACTCAGAGTCTTCTAAAATATAGTTTCTATTCTTATTCTATGTAAAAAAAAATTTCTTTAAAAATTGGGCTCTGTCGTTTATAGAAAGGTAGATTACTTTTTTAAATATTTTGTTTATGTTAAACCACTTATTTGGCTAAAGCTTGCTTTATAAGCTAACTAAACAAAAACAATGATCTTCCATTATCTCGGTGATCCCTTAAGTATATAATTAGCTCAAAGATTAGAGGCCTTTTCAACCGAAATTATTTGTAATTAAGTTTGTATTCTTATCCAGTTTTATATTGCACACCATAATAGTTGATTAAAGCTCCTATTATTATTTCTTCAAAATTTTTGAACTTCCATTTTGAAGGACAAGCGGGAGCTATTTAAGTTAAAACATTAATTTGGAATTTATAACAATATAAAAGTAAAAAGTTATTACTTTTATAATTTCTAAGTTTGGTTTGTATCGGTAAGCTGGAAGTCATTTGTAACCTTAATTAATTTATAATAATTACTACGTCCAAAAGTTACTCACTTATAAAGAAGTAATAATTAACACTGGCTATAAAAAAAAAAAAAAAAAAAAAATTTTACTAAATAAAGTTAAGTACAAAGTTGCATGAAAATTACGATAGGAACTTTAAAAACTTTAAAAACTTTAAACAGTAAACACATTCCCCACCTCTCTTTTGCATAAGCCAGTACAACAATAGGGGTCACAAGAATACCAACGAGGGGAGAGGCTAATATTTATATATATCTCACACATCTAACTACTATAAAACCAATATATTTGAAAAAGTCATTAACCAATGCTGAAAGTACGCTAAATTTTCTCTATAGATATAAATACATTAATTCCCCAGTAAAGCTTTTAAAGTTAAATTATTTTTTTATAAAGTTGCGATAGGCGAAAGTTAGACTACATTAAAGATGCGTTTTTAGTAAGCGGATAATAGGCTTAAGTGGCACTCTCGATCTATATTAATCTTCTTTAAAAAAAAAACATGAGCTTATTAAGTAAAAAATAAATATTATAATTAATCTATTTTGGCAGTGAAAACTAAAACTTAGTCTCAAAATAAAAGGGTATAAGCGTTAAAATGTATGCGTATATGTGTGAAGGATTTTCAAATGAAAAAGTGATTTATAGATTAAGTATTCTAGCATTAACCGAATTAATATATTTACGTTATATATGCTATTAAATAAAAAATGTATATGGTAATTAATTTTACCTAAAAAAAAAAATTATCTATTTAAATGGGTTTGTATTGAATTGTATTACCACTGTTTGAGCCCACTTCATTTTATTATAATCTATATATGTCATTAATTTTCCTTGAATTAAAAAAATAATACTATGAAATATTATTACTATTATAACAACGCACCCTTTAGTCGAAATCTTAAACCTCCAGCTGCATAAAGATGGTCTACCCATAAATGTATATTGCGTTTTAGATCTTAACAAATTAAAAAAGGCAGTTTATAAACATACAAATTTGAAGAATACGTTTTTTTACTTAAGAAGTTGTAGGTTAAGCGTATTTAAAATATTTTTAGATTATAAATTTTTATCTTTACTCTTAAGTTTTTTTTTTTTTAACCATGTCGATTTACACTTGTTACACAGAGTTGAATAAATTGTAAAAAAAACCAAAAAATAAATTTTCAGTAGTATTTCATAATAATTTGAACTTTCTTTGAAGGTGTTATGACAAAGTTTAATTTTTTTTTAATAAAAAGGGCAAGCCAGGATGTATAAGTTAAGTTTTTTAAAACAACTACAATGAAAGGGTAGAAAGAAATATACAACCTTCAAAAAAGCTTTAAAAATACATATTAGTTCGTAGGAGCACACATATAAGTAGTAGAATAGGTATAAAAACTTTCAAAGTATTTTAAAAAAGAAAAATTGTTTTCTTAGGAGATATAATGAAAAAAATAATGTTGATTTTATATGTTTCTAAACAGTTTATTTATAAAAATTTTACTACGCTTCAAAACATTGCGTCGTATAATTACTTTTTTAAATATGTTAAGCTGCTCTGCTCAGCGAAATCTTATAAACATATGAATAGCGTATTATTCAATAATTTATTGTTCAGACTGTTAAAAAAATACCACTTTCTACGGATAACTGTTGACTTCAGAAGTTATAAGTATATAATAAAGCGTAGAAGAAATATCTGAGCATAGAAAGTAGAAATGCTAAGCTTGACTTAGAAGTCCATCTTGCAAACCCTTTAGTAATCGGTATAAACTCAATTTTTAATCAGTTCCTTTAGTTTATTAAATATTTGAAAAAAATATATTTCTTAGTTCTTTTTTTACTTTCCAGTTAATTTAATAGTTTACCTTTTACTTTTTTCATATCGGTAATAAGCAATTTTAAATCCTTAGAAATAATAAAACTTATACTCGGCAACTTTGGGCCACTCTTAAAATTTATCTTCAAATGAATAATAAAATAGCACGGTTTATATTAAATTCTATAAGTGAATTTTTTTAGTTCTAGGTTTTCATATGTAATGGAATAAAGGAGGTAAAACATTTGAGGTGAAGGGGTTATAAGATAAGTTTTAGTGAAAGCTTAATCTTTAGCCATTAATTTATAATAACAAAAAAAAATTTAATTTGGAAAACTCTATTCTTAGTTTAGTTATTTTTTTTTAAGTGATTGACCTTTCTAATATTAAGACAGATACGAAAACCTTAATAAGAATTAAACTAATAAAAATTAATAAAATACTTAGGCTTGAGAAGCAAGAGTAATTATATATCAGCTCCAGCCATCTGTACTTGAGTATAAGTAAAAAAAGAGCCTAAGAATTCATCTTAAACCTGTTTATTATATAATAATACTATTAAAAATTAGAATTTTTTATAATAAAGTTAAAATATAGAATAATAACTTAACTAATAAATGTAAATCGATTGTATATCCAAACTTTCAATATTAGTTAAAGTAAAGTTTACTTTTTTATAGAGGTATAACATGATTTATCATTACAATAAGGCAACTGTTAAAAAATTCAGAGAAAACTTTTTAAATTTGCTGAAAAAGTTTTATCAAATTATCTTCGGAGCATGATAATTTCAGAGTGTAAGTTATACTTTAATAAATAAACAGTTTTCACTAGCATTAATCTTTTTTTTATCACAATCAAAATGAAGAGTTGGCCTTTTTTTAAAAGAACTTGATTATTTCTTTTAGTATTACACTCTCATTCTTGGTTCTGCGTTCATAGTTCTTAAGAGTTAAAATGTTACGGAAAGATAATAAAGAGCCTTCTTTTCAATAAGAGAGTCTCTGATTATTTTTTTTTCATTATCTGAACCCCACCAGAGGAGCACTAGATTATCAATTTTGTTAGTTTTAAAAAGTTTTTGCACTGAAATATTTTTATGTAGCACAGTTGTACTCAGTTATTTTACTTTATAGTATAAATGAGCATAACCCTTTATAAATACTTTGTAATTTTATCAACTGCCCACACAAATGGCTAGGCGGAACTGTTAGCAATATACTTTCAAAGATAATAAGGGGAGTTTGATTAAGCTTTCTAGTAATTTTGCAGTTTTGTGAAAATTGCAAAAGCACAAAGCAAAAATGCTTGTGGTAAAAAAAAAAAAATTATAATACAATGAATAATTTATTATTATTATAAAAAACTACAAGTGAGCAGCATCAATACCAAAAAAATAACTATTTTATTAAGAGCCCTTCAAACATGTAACAAAAAATATAGATAAAGACGCTCATTTGCTTTAAACGCTTCAAAGATATAATGAAACTAATGAAACTTAATATTTAACTTTTAAAGTCTAATAGACAAACAAATAAAAACGATAAATTCAAGTTCCTTACTATATTATTACTTTAATGTAAACAACACTATAATTTTAGTCGCTCGCGCAAACACCGACAAGACTATTTTCATATAATTTTTGTAAAATCTATAATTTATAGTAGCAGTTAGTTTTTTTCTGTAGTATATAAAAATTTAAGTTAGTTTTAGCGAGAAGCAATTTTTAATAACTATTTTGAAAGAACTTTAGTTATAAAAAGCTAAACTTTTGTGTCTTTACTAACTAAACAACTACGAAATCTAAACGTGCGTTTTTATATATAGATATAACTATTAAATTTTTTAGATACTTATTAGTGCTAAAAGCTATTAAATTGTTATTGTTTAATAAAACATTTTTAAGTTAAAAAAATTATTCGGATGTGTATAATAATAAATAGTCTATATATGAAGTTTACTCTAGACATTTTAAAAAAAAAAAAAAAAAAAAGATTGTATTCTGTATAACAGTCCAACTGAACCGCAAATCAGCTTTATGGAGCGACGTAAAATCCATTATTAACGAAGTTCAGAAAATGCCTTAGTAAATACTAATAATATTTGAAATTACCTCAAAAATGTAAATTTGTTGTATAAATAGTAACAAATTTTCATATATAAAAAATGACCCTTGAATTATATAAAAATCATTAGTTTGGAAACAAGCAGGATATATTAGAGTTTACATTCATAAAACATAAGTATTTTTTTTAATACAATACTGTGAAAATGCAGTCTTCTACATTATTTTATTAATTTATACAATTTCTTACTTTAAAGAATTTTAGAGAGGTGTGCCTGGGAAGTTGCACGTCCAGGATACAAAAAATCAACAAATAATATGTTAATAATACTTCGCTTTTTAAAAAAATTAATGGTATTTTATTAATGCTGAACACTCTTGCTTATATTATCAGTATAATTTCAAGTTATAAATAGTTAATGTTACTATCAAAAATTTACTATCTTACATAAGTATATATATATATCTTTTAAATAATAATAATAATTTTATTTAAAAATAGTCAGTATTAAATAAGGAACCATTTTGTTTCTGATCATGTCTGAAGGTAAAAGACTATAATTTATGTACGCCCTTCCGCGGTCTCAAAAAATTAAAAATAGGAAGGGTGGTAAAATAAAAATTGAAAGCTTAGTATAAAAAGCATATAACGAAAATTAATTTATAATTTTAGAAAATGGATGACTTTGGAACTAAATATAACTATTATATTTTAAAAAAATAAATAATTAAATGATAAGAAAAACCTATGGAAAAAAGAAATATTAAAGCTAAATAGTTGGTTAATATGAACTTAAAAATTTATTTAAAATAAAGTATTAAAAAATCATAATATTTGTAAGTCAAAAAAAAGGGAAATAAAAAAAATTTTATTTTTCATGCAGATATTAAGAATTTATAACTTTGTAGTAAAAATATTAATATAATATTTTTCACCTTTGTCACCTAATAATCAACTATTATACCACCTAGGTTTTTTATTAGATCCACCTTTTTATAAAGTGGCTATCATTATTTTAATTTTATACTTATCAAATGATTTTTGTTAAAGTATAATAATAATTTAAAACAAATAATTTTACTAATATAGCTAAACATCGCTTTTCCAGACAAAAATAAAAATTTACCATAAAAGTCATGCATTATTCAGGGGTTAAAAATAGGCATTCGACCTTTTAAATTGAAAAAGGCAATCTATCTTTTAAGTGAAATATCTATTTCATAGTAAAAAATTCTAATAAAACTAGTGTATTAAAAGTTAACTAATAAAATATTGATTATTGTATAATCAGAAAATAATTATTTCCTACATTTAAAGAGGTTTAAAGGTAGAACTAATTTTATAAAAGTCGTTTTAA